TCATGCCTCCTCGTCCTCCTGCTCTGCCCACCCCCCGCCCCCGGTTCCCGCCCCTCTTCTCCTCCACCTGCACCTCCCACCCTCGTCTCCCTCTTCGGCCCCCTTCCACCTGCGCTTTCTTCCGCTCGCACCTCGCTGCGACACCGACAAGCTCGCGTTCGGCCGCGGTGCCACAACAAGGCCCGACCTGCTGCGTCTTATACAACGGCAACGGCGTCAAACCTTCTGGTTGTTTCCGCTCACAACTTTGCTGTGCCCCACCTTGTACCACCTCTTCCCGGGCTGGCTCTTCATGAGTTTGACTGTCACCCGCTGGCTGCCGAAACGGCCTTGCAGAGGGCAGAAAGACACACTTCAAAACATACAAACCGGATCTTGCGTGTCGGATGGTTTCCCGTTCGCCCCCACATCGGCACTGACGTCTGAGTGACTTTCTCCCCTGATGCCTGCCGTCTCCTCCAGGTGCAACTGGCAGTCCTCGGACACCACATCAGCAGACAATGGCTGAACCACCAACTTCCACAAATACATCTCCTTCGCACCATAGGACCCGGGCGCGCAGATTTGCAGCTCCATGCGATTAGTCCCAAAGTAAGCCCGAACACTGTCCCTAGTGACGAAATCAGCTGCACCGTAGTAGAGGTGCGCGTTGACCTCGACGTGAAGAATGGCAAACTGCTTATCGTCCTCGAAGAGGAAGTAATTCACAGGCCTCTCGTGGAGAGTCTGTGGCATGGCCTCGGCTCCTCTCCGGATCATGCCACCGTACGGCTCCAGAGACCTGTACGCTCCGTCCCAGACAGCCTGCGGTGCCTTCTCGAAGAAGGTGTGCAGGTCCCTGCGGGAGAGCCCGACCAGGGGATCGCATCCCAGCCTCCTGCAGAGCCCCTCGTACGCGGCGTGCTCCTCGAGGGGTCGCCCCGCCGAGGCCATGACCGCCGCAAGCGCCTCGTACCTCAGCGCGTCACCCCCGCCGACGGCAAACCTGTCGAAGATCAGGTCGCACCTGGCCCGGAACTCCGCGGGGTGCAGGCCCTTGATCGGCCTTAGAGGCCTCCCAGATGGGGTCCGAGTAGATGGGGTCGGAAAATCGCGCCGCATCGCCGATGCATCGGCGATGCGCCGGCGATGCATCGTCGACGTCGGCGATGCATCGGCGACGTCGGCTTAGGTCGGGCATGTTCTCCTACAGGCGGATCCTGGAGGAGAAATAAAGAATAGTCCAAACATGCTCTAACATATTAGAACATAATAGAAAAATCGTCCCCGGTCTTTAAATATGTATATATACATATGTATACGATCCTCCTGCAGAGGGACGTGCCCGACTCAGACGTCGACGTGACGCAAATCGGGCTGCTCATCGATCCGATGCACCGGCGATGCGGCACGGTCCTCCGACCCCGTCTGCTCCGATCCCCCATCTGGGAGGCCCAGATTGAGCAGGGACCGACCGTCCCCGCATTCCTACAGTCCTACCACGAAATTTTCTTAGAACCCAGAGATGTTCTAATAACAAAAACAATGTTCTTAGAACATGAGCCCCATGTGTTAAACCAAGACAGCCTCCACCAAACATGTTCTGAGAACCTTCTTAGAACATTCTTTGGTGGGGCTATAGGCACGCCAGGACGCTTCGCCACTGCTTGACATCGATGAGGCCCAGGGGCCTGCGCTCGACCACCCTGGCGGTGGGGGGTTCACTTCGTCTAGGAGCTCCCGAGCGAAGTGAACCCCACCCTCCCCCTCAGAAATCGTGGGGGGTAGGGGTAGGGTTCGCGTGTGGCCCCCTATCCGACCCCGTCTGCTCCGATCCCCCATCTGGGAGGCCCAGGGGCCTGCGCTCGACTACCCTGGCGGCCTCCGCCGCCCCGTCTGGCAGCTCCGTGACGGGCGAGACGAGGCTGGTGCGCTCGCCGCGGAGAGGCGGCGGCCCCTCCGCGACCGCCTCGCGCGCCTCCGCGCTCGGCGCCTGGGGCGCCGAGGAGGAGGAGGAGGAGGAGGAGGAGGAGGAGGAGGAGGAGGTGGCGAGGGGGCGCGCAGCCTTCGGGCCCCAGGAGGGTCCCTTGTGGGGCCCCATGGGGTGCACGAAGCGGGGCGCACCTCCCCTCAAACATCCTGGCGTCTCCATTCGTTCGAGCCAAGCATTGGCGCCCTCTGTCTTCGGGCCCCGGGCCCCTCACGGATCGATCCGGCTCGAAAAATGACGCAGGAAGCTGGAGTCTGGGGCTGCGGGCGTGATTTTTGTCAATGTTACATGTTTTTCGCCACGTCGGATCTCAGGGCCTCGTCACCTCTCATATCTCGCCCTCCCCCCCCCCACCACTATGCAGCGCCCGAGCGCCGCCGGGGCATCCGCCTCCACGAGCTCGCCGCCGCGGACGGCGGAGAAGCCCTGTGGGTCGCCGGCCTTCGGCAGGGGCATCTGCTCCACCAGCGGGGGCGGCTTCCAGGCCGCCTCGGGCGTCACCTCGTACAGCACCCAGCACTGGTCGTCGCTGATCCTCTGGATCTCCACGACGGGGTAGGGCAGCGAGAACGGGGCTCTGTTGTAGTTGTACTTCGTGTGATGCTCGGGCGCCGATGGGGCCGTCTCTGGCCCCGAGCGGGCCCGTGGCGCCCCGAAGAGCACCCCTGTGGGCCCCCTGCCTTCCCATCCCTCCCTGCCTCGATTCCCCTGGGGGGCCACATGCGAACCCGATCCTTACCCCCCACGATTTCCGAGGGGGACGGTGGGGTTCACTTCACTCGGAAGCTCCTCCCTATCCCCCTAAAGTGCCCCCCATCAGGGCCGCAACAGTTACCTCGGCTTGAGTTGGGGGCACCTCAGGCCGGCGACGTGTCTAGCAGCGCCCGAGATGCAGATGTTTGTCTATACGGTTCTCCCAGCCCGTGTTGTCGGCGGACTCGTGCAGATGAGTGAGCAAGAATCTAGGACGCGTCGCGAGCACCCGCTTAAGAGCGTTGACTGCGTCGGGCAGCACCATGTGGTTGAACACATCCTTGGCCAGTACAAGGTCGCAGCCCATCGGCATGACCTCGATGCCAGTCAAGTTTGAGAGGTCTGTCTGGATGAACTGCATGCGTGGGAAGCGACGGAAATTCGTCGCCTTAGCTAGATTATCATCCAATCTAAGCTTGTCCGCATCCAGATCCAAGTCTTGATCCTGAGCCCAACAGCCCCTTTCGTGCCAGAGCGCGGATCACCCTGGTGATCGAAAATGCGATCGGCAGGGTCCTGATAGTCCTGATAGTTCTGACCGATCGGTGGATCAGCGACCTGACCGAGCCACGACCAACTGATCAGAAGCTGCTGAGCTTGTGGCCAACACATATGGCACTAGGTCCACGCCGACGTATGTGACCAATGGGTGCTCTTCCAAGAAGTACTGCATCCAAGCAAGCTCACCACAACCAGCGTCGAGAACCGTGCGGATATCAGGGAACCGGGCGAATACCTTCGTCAGCGCGGCGACGGCAAGACGAGCTACCGGGTACCATGGATCGGCCTTCCTTCCACTCATAGAACTGAGCCCGCCTCCGAGGTTCATGGTGTAGACAGAAGTCATCGCTTCATACTTGTAGCGGAGCGATATCATGTCTGGATTCCATTTCTTCACGTTAAGCTCGCATTTGAACTTTGCTATGACAGGAAGCTCCAACTGCTCAAGGTCGCGCTTGACCAGCCTTGCGTGCACATGTACGCCTTGCGTCTCCTGGTAGGCCTCAAGGCACTCGTCTCCTCGATTTAGGTGCTTGTGGTCAATGACGCAAGCATCCTCCATTCGCATGTCGTCACCGATCTTCGTGCACAGTTCCGTCCACTGCTTCATGTCCTTGCACGCGATCTTCACCTCGAACCTAACTACCAGGTCGTCGGGGATCGTCAAAACAGAATTGCCCTCTGGACACTTGTGGCAAGTCACTGGAAGCCGTTTCTGCTCAAAGTGGTCCTCGCACATGCCAGGATCCATGAGAAGCAGGGACTGCATCGTTTGCTGCTCATCAAGCAGCGGAACGTAGAAGCTCTCCCAAAAACCCCACTCCCCATTGAACGTTGTCATCAAAGGAGTTTCAGTCCCGATCTGCCTCATACGCATCATGAAAAACATGTCTGCGCGGATCTTTGCGGACGTGAATGAGACATCATGCATCTCCCCTTGTTCCCACTTGGCGCGGGTGTCCGTCCCCGAGCGGAATACCACTATCTCCTCGCAGTGCTCCCGAGCCGAAGCAAAGGCCCATATTGATCGACCCCCAAAGTGCACTGGCCGCAGACCAGGGGCGTTCGAGCAACTGTACGCGGCAAACGCGAAGTCTCGCAGGCGCCACTCTGGCGGCTCCGCGCCCCTATCCACGAGCGTCACGCGGGAGCCTCGATGAGGAATCCCCTCTTCGTCAACGATCTCTGCAGTGTGCACCATGAACTGCAGGTCGGGTGCCAACATTGCTTGACGATAGCGGGTGCCTGGCTGCACGGCGCATGGGTGGGAACACACAAGCCTTGAGAGCTGCGACGAGCACTGCCAGAGCAACGGCCACGATTATCACAGTGGCAATGGGTTCAATACGATGGCGGCCACGACGACTACAGTCGGGGCGCTGAAGAAGGAACCTTTGTCGTTGGGGAGGGGCTCGGTGTTCCTTGATGGTTTAACAGTTTGTCTGAGGTTATCCTGAGGTTTCCCATTCGAAATCGAAGTTTAACTTATGAGAAAAGGGGCCTCGTTCCTCATTTAGGGTTCCTTAGGTCAACGCCCCGACTGTAGAATCATGAGGGGCCCTCAACGTCGGAGCGAACGTGGAAAGACGGCCACGACAATTACAGAATCCGCCGACCCGCGCCGCCCGCTGGCCGGGGGTGCGGAGGCGTGCGAGAGGATCTGCTGTGGCCCCTGCCCTGTTGCCCCCACACCAGGGTCCAGCATCGCGTCTGAGGGGAGGGAGTGAGGGGGGCCCACACGAAATCGCTAGCTCTGCATCGAGGCATCCGGAGGAGCAAGAGCGCCCCAAGACGAGCCAAGAGGGCTCGGAGACGGCCCAAGAGCGCTCCAAGACGCCCAAGATGGCATCCAGCAGTTCAAGAGACCCCAAGACGGACCAAGAGCAAGCCACGAGGTCCCCAAAGATGCCCCCAAGAGGCCAAGAACCTGGATTTTCGCTGTGGTTGTGAAGGATTGTGGATTTCTGGCCTTTTCGGGTTGACGACGCTCCAAGACGGCCCAGGAGCGCCGAAAGGTAGCCCTAAGACGGCCGAAGAGGCCCCCAAGAGAGCCCGCAAACAGCCAAGAGAGCCCCAAGACGGCCCAAACTGCTTCCAAGAAGGCCCAAGCCGACCCCAAGAGTGCTCCAAGAGAGCCCCGATAGGAAAAACACGAAACGACATGCCGAGCCACCCGCCCCAAGACGACACCCGAGTCCGCCAGCAGGTCCCCAAGAGGCTTCCCCAAAGCCCCAGGAGGCCCCCAAGAAGCGCAAATGAAGCTCCGAGAGGCCTCCGAGATGCCTCCAGGAGGCCTTCACGACACTGCAGCCTGCAAAACCGCCTCCAAAGAAGGGACGCCATGAGCTTGCACAGTGGTCGAGGTCCGCAGACCACTCGTCCTCCTTTTCCTCCTCCGCCTCCGCCTCGTCCTCCTCCTTCCCATCTCCTGCTCCCCCATCAAGATCGCTCTCCTCGCTCTTCTCATCCTCGCCCTCTTCTGCAGCCCCCGTCACTATCATCGACTCGTCGTACTCCTCATTCCTCGTCCTCGTCAAAATCCTACTTCTCTTCCTCCTCCTCCTCCTCCACCTCCTCCTCCTCCTTCTCCTCCTCCTCCTCCTCCTCCTCCTCCTCCTCCTCCTCCTCCTCCTCCTCCTCCTCCTTGTCCTCCTCCTCCTCCTCCTCCTCCTCCTCCTTCTCTTCGTTTTACCTTCTCCCCATCCTCGTCTATTTGGTCGTCGACCTTCACCTCGTATCCTCATCTCCCATACACCTGCCGATTGATCATCCACCTACCCTTCCTCACGTGCCATCATTATGCAACTCCTTTCCCCCTCCCCCCCCCTACTCCTGCTCCTGCTCCTCCGTTTCCTCCTCGTCATCCCCCCCTCCCCCCTGGGGAGGAGGGCCCACCCATTGGAGGGTCTGGGCGCCTGCATCGATCCCCTCCCACCCTATGTGGGCCGTCACCTCACGACTGCAACGGACACGGGCTCCCTTGGTTAGCCGAAGGTTCATACGATCTGATGGCGCACAGCGGCAGCCAGCAGAAAGTCTCGGACCGGGTGCCCCACGTGAAATCCGCAGACCCTGGCGGCGTGTGGAAGACGCTCTTCCGTTTGTCCGTCGCCGTCGCCGTCGCCATCGCCGTCCCTTTTCGCCCACGTCGTTGTCGTCGCCGTCGCCGTCGCTGCTCCCCCCCCTATGCCTGGGCCCTCCTCCTCAAGCGCGCCAGCCAAAGCGAAATTGAGCAACGTCGTAGTTGAGTCGAAGGGAAGCCGAAGAGCCGAAGCCCCTTCCCCTTGGGACCCCCAAAAAGCCAAGACGGGCACAGAGTGTCCCTGGAGGCCTCCATGACGGTCCAAGAGGGCCGCGGATCGCCGAATTATCGGTCCCAAACGCCTCAGATGGCCTCCAGAAAATTAAAAGACACCTCCCAGGCGCTCCACGAGGCCTCCAAGAGCGCTCCGAAAAGGGCCCCAAGAGGTTGAAATTATAGATGTTCGTGAGTTTTTGAAAGACTTGGGTGTTCTCGTCGTCTCGGCTTCCCGACGCTCCACGATTGCCCAGGAGGTCGCAACAATCGCCCCAAGATAGCCTCAGAAGTCTCCAAGATAGCCCCGAATCAGCCCAAGAGGGCCCCCAGATAGCCCAAGAGACCTCCAAGACGGCCCCCAGACGGCCCCCAAGACGGCACCCAGAGCTGGCCCACACAGGGAACTCGAAAGGAGCTTTGGAACCTTCGGCCCACGTGGTCCCAAGAGGCCTCCCCAAGAGGTCCCAAGAGGCCTCCCAAGAGGCCTCTAGAGGCCCCCAAGAGCCCCCCATGAAGACCCAAGACGCCCTCAGGAGGCTCCCAAGAGACGCCCCAGGAGGCTCCGAAGACCCAAGAGCCCCCCCCCCCTCCTCGTCCACCTGTTCCATCTCCCTATCCTCCTCGCATACAGGGTCGGCGGCACTGAACGTAAGGTCTTCACATTAGTACCAAGAAATGCAAACCCAATTCAAGGTACATTGGTGGTGGTAACGGAGGGCGCCGAAGAAACGGTGGGACGCGTCTGGTTCAGCCTAACGCGGTTGAGACCCATGTCGTCATGCACGGCATTCTAGCCCATACCTCGCCCTGGCAACTACCATGGGCTCCTGACTTCGTCAGGGCGTGGGCGGAATGGCTCAAGCCTCTTGAGCAATGAGGGGGCCTGAACGTCGGAGCAAAACTGCAACGACCGCCACGACAATGATGTCAAAGCGTCTGTAGCAATGACGACGATGACGAAATCGACGGAATTGACAGCATGGCAACAGCAGGGTCCTCAGCATACCAACGACAGAAATATGCTGCTTTGGTACCACGTAACACCACACATGCTGAGCACACAGGCGAGCCAACTCATGCAAATACACTGCCACCACCAGCGAGTGCAGCGCCCGCCATGCCGAAGACGCCCTGACAGTGATCAGAATGAGGGAGCCGAACGGTCATTCATTGTCCCTGGGTGCGTGGCTGAAGTGGGGATCCGTGGTGAGGATTCTGCTTGTTGCGTTTTTGCTATCTGTTGTCGTCGTCCCACCCGCGACCCACCCCGCGACCCACCCCGCGACCCACACGCGACCCACCCCGCGACCCACCCGCGACCCAACCCGCGACCCAACCCGCGACCCACCCCGCGACCCACCCGCGACCCACCCGCGACCCACCCCGCGACCCATCCGCTACCCAACCCGCGACCCGCCCCGCGACCCACCCCGCGACCCACCCGCGACCCACTTGCGACCCACCCGCGACCCACCCCGCGACCCAGCCGCGACCCAGCCGCGACCCAACAACGACCCACCCGCGACCCATCCGCGACCCATCTGCGACCTACACGCGACCCACGCGCGACCTACCCACATTGGTTTAACGAAAAAATCGGCACCTGCGGCGGGCTCGTTGTATAATTTGTGAAATTTTGGCGCCTGCGGCGGGCTTCTCCAGAGTCTCGCAGACTGTCGACGTCCCCACCGCCCGCTCACTCTTATCAGCATCTGCGGGGTGCTATGGTAATGCTAGCAATGCCTGCGATGGGAAAGTCCGCTGTCAACCAAAGGCCTGATGCATAGCCCCAATGATTTTCGAGAGCCCGCTGACTACATGAGCTACTCAACTTTATTGAGCAACATACGAGTGCGAACGCAGCCCCAACCTGCACATCCATCCAGGGCAAGTTGCGGATAAGTGTGCACAGCTCCATTGTCACAGTCGCCACTACCAGCAGGCGGCACTGAGTACATACCAACTCACGCAAAGCAAGGTGCCTCCCACATGTGCATGCTGTACAATATACGGTCTCACTCGTCGATCTTCGGCGCGAGATAGAATTGCAAGTGGCCGTTGCCCGCATCCTCCAGGTTTTACATACCTTACAAGCAAATGTGCATCTAGGCCAAGCCCGAGCTCATCGGTGCCACACAGACTGGGAGAGTGGCATCATTTGGAGATATCGAGGGCCCGTGTGGGCCAGAGGCTTCTTGGATGCTGCCGTGGGTCTCTAGGGGTGTCTCTCAAGGGTCTCTTAGATGCATCTAGGGGCGTCATGAGGGCCTCTTGCTAGCTATTGGGGGGTATCATGGAGCGTCTTGGGTGCTCTTGGAGCCCTCTTGAAGCCATTTGGGGAGCGTTTGAGGCTTTCTTGGGGCCTTCTTGGGGCCCTCTTGGAAGCCTCGGATGAGGCCAGCTGTGTTACCATGAGTCCACTACTGCACACCCACCGTGACTCCACTATCGCACCCAAAGTTAGCAAAGCATCCTAGAAGCCAGCCTGCAGGCTTGCATGCTCCTCTCCCGCAGCTCAAGAAAAATACTGAACAATCAACTGCTTCCAATCTACACTGATGAGGCCGCTTCTTCCCGGAACGCTTTATCTAACGCTATAGCCACTGCTCCGAATTCTGCCACAACTCACGCCAACATCGTACTCGACTAAAGGCCAGGGTTATGTTACTCCCATCCTACTTAAGGACCAGATCCCAGAAATAATTTCGAGCACCCGGAAAAGGTGTCGAAACGAAAGAGTGTCGAAAGAGCGTCGAAACAGTGTCGGACGAGTGTCTCCCAGGGCCCGACACGTGAAAACCCTCGAGTTTCGGCACTTTGTTCTTGTGCTCGAGGTTACTCGTGGGAGTTCAGGCTAAAGTAGGTTGGAACATCATAAGGCCAGGGCCGACGGCGGGATGTCCGCGCACCGGCCGGCTAGTGGTAAGTCGGGCCTGTCCCTCTGCAGGGGGGATATTCAAAAATAGACAAAAAATAATCAAATAGTCTGGGGACTTTTTTGGGGGGGCATTTTTTGACCATTTTGGAATATGTTTTTGAATATTCTTTATTTTTCGTCGAAAATCCCCCTGTAGGGGGACGCGCCCGACCTGAGGACAAGCCCAGCTCCCGGTTCCCGGGAACTGGAAGAGCCCGGCGCCCGCGCACGGACCCGCGGCCACCCTCCAGGGAGCCCCAGGAAGGATTCCTCCTCCTCCTCCTTTTCCTCCTGCTCCTCCTTCTCCTCCTCCTCCTCCTCCTCCTCCTCCTCCTCCTTCCTCTCCCCCCCCTCCTCCTCCTCCTCCTCCTCCTCCCTCCTCCTCCTTCCCCACCTCCTCCTCCTCCTCCTCCTCCCTCCTCCTCCTCCTCCTCCCTCCTCCTCCTCCTCCTCCGCATGCTCCTCCTCCTCCTCCTCCTCCTCCGTTACCGCCTGTAAAGTAGAGGTCAAAAGATCCACCCCCATAATAACCACCCCGACACACGAAGTCGTTCAGTAAACGCGCCCACAGAAGGAATCGAACAGGGCAGGGCTGTTCAGTAAACGCCCAGGGCCGTTTAGCAAACGCCAACTGTCCGGTCCGGGTGGTTTTCCCTCCCTTGATACAAGGGCGTTCAAACGCTTGCGGAAGCAGTCAGGGGAAGGCATCACACCCTGCGTCTGCAGCCTGTCAGCAACCTCCCATGCCGAGTTCATGTCAGCACGGCACCGGGGAGCCGAAGGAGCTGGACCATGCCTGCTGTCTGCCCGGAAGCCGCACACTGCAGGCGGTGGCGTTCCGAAACCAGAGTCTTGCGTTACTGGCGACACCTCCCCCGGCCGAAGTGCACAGGAACTCCCAGCACTCTCGCTCCGACCTCCAGCTCCAATCCTGTACGGCTGTCGGGGCAGTGATATGGCAGTACTCTCTGTCAGGCTGTGGTGGCTTCCTTGCTCTAGGTTGCCTGGATCGCCATCTTCCACCGGTGCTTGCACCGGTGCGCGCATCGCGGCTAACTCTGGCCGTGGTGCTCTGGCCAGATGTCCGCCTGCAGACAGAATTGCCGCATCGCTGGACGTTTCCAGCGCGAGTGGAATAGCCAAGACTACAGCACCAGTGCCTTTTTCGAACAGAGGCATTGACATCAGCTCCAACTCTACTGCATCAGGAGCATCTGGTCGCCAGCGGGACCATTCGTGCGAACCATTGGCGCCAAAGGAAGAACTGCCGAAGGCACCAAAGAAAGAACTGCCGAAGGCGCCAATTGGCGCCAACAGGACCATCAGAATCATTGGCGCCAAAGGAAGAACTGCCCATACCTGGGGCGGCATGAGCTTCCTTCACCAGGAGCAACGAACCCACCCCATGAATGTTTTGCTGGGGAGCGAGGATCCCAATGGAAGCACCAGGGAGTTCTCCAATTCCACGCGCTGCGGCACACTCCAATGTGCTTCCTCCTCCTCCTCCTCCTCCTCCTCCTCCTCCTCCTCCCCCTCCTCCTCCTCCACCACCTCCCTCCTCCTCCTCCTCCTCCTCCTCCTCCTCCTCCTCCTCCTCCTCCTCCCCTGCATGTGTGTCCCCACGATTTGGTCCAACTTGTCGTTGGCCTCGAACACCTCGAAATGATTCCCGGCCTGAGCGGTCACGACGACATCGGACCTCGTATTGAGCAGTGCTGTGTCCCTTGTGTAACAAGTCCAGGCTGGTGTGCGCCTCGTAGTAGTGCTTCCAGATGCTGCCGATGATGCAGAACAAGAGGAAAGCCCACGACGCCGACACAACGGCCGACGCGATTGCAACCCAGAAAATCTCTCGCTCTCTAGTAAGTATGCGCTCCCTCCCTGGCCGAGCGCACCAGGTTGTCAACATACAGAGTAAAGTCATTTGATGAAGACTAACCTGCCGTATCTCTGTGATGCTGATGTCGGGGACCATGGGCTGATACCCCTTCACACGGTCAAGCCTTTTGCAGAATTCTAGCAAAGCGTCCTTGACACTTTCATCGAGAACTGTCGGCACCTCCAGCACTAGCCTTGTTCCCGAAAGCCCGTCTACAATATCGCACAAACCCACGTATGTACTTCTCCCGTTGTCCACTTGGTAGTCGTCCGCATCAACCTCTCCCTCCAAATTGCTCATCGCATACATCACAGCTACATTTTGAAGGTTGAAACGCAATTTCCCTGCATTGTCAACTATGAATAGATCAACTTCGTGTGTGTGGGCCAGTAGAACTGTATGGCAAACCAACAAGGAGACAGACACACACCTAGAAATAAGAGCAACCAGAGGACACACCTGGCATACCTGTTAGGAGTCAACATGCTAAGTGCTAGACCCCCTCCACTTCCAAATTCCAAGAGGGGTCTTGGGCCAAACGGCTCGAGCCAAAATGACAACGGGGCGCTCTTGAGGCCGTCTTAGAGCCCTCTTGGGGCTCTCTTGAGCCATCGTGGGGCCACCTTCAGGCCTCGGAAGGCCATCGGAAGCGAAAAGACGAGAAGGCACAACACATTGATTTACCGGAGGTGTTGGAAGTTTATGGGCCTCTCGGATACGTCCTTGGGAGGCTCCGTGGCCTCTTGGACCCACCATAGAGCGGTCGTGAGGCCTCTTAGAAAATGCGTGAAACAATGTTGGGCCACCTTGGGCTACTTTGAGCCAGCGAGCCCGGGGGGAAGTGAGGAGGGGCGGGCCTTCTCACTCGCAAGGCTCAGAAGTCCCCGGGCCTTCTGAAGAGCATTCCCCGAAGGCACAGAAACCTATGAGAAGGCTAGAAAGGTCGGGCCTTCACAAAAGGCTCGGAAGTCCGCCGGCCTGCTGAGAAGTTTGCTACGCCTTCGACGGCGAGCAAGGAGGGCAGCGCGCGGCGGCGCGGCGCGGCCTGGCGCACCAGCCTCACCACCTCGGGCGCGACGAGGACGACGACGACGACGACGACGACGACGAGGACGACAATGACGACGAGGACGAGGACGAGGACGAGGACGAGGACGAGGACGAGGACGACGAGGACGAGGACGAGGACGAGGACGACGAGGACGACAAGGACGACGACGACGACGAGGACGACGAGGACGAGGACGACGACGACGGCGACGACGACGAGGACGACGATGACGACGAGGGCATTGGATACGTTGGCCGCACGCACAGCGGGGTAGGCCCAGAGATTCGACGCTCCAACAACCATTGAAGCGGGGGCCGGGCCGTTCTCGGTCTCCGAGGGTCCTGGCCAGGCCCTGTAACCGTCCAACAAAAACGATTCGGAACGAAACCCCCGCCCTGGGGAGGTGGTCCAGACCGATCGCGTCGCAACAAAAAATCGGACGGGCGGTTTTTGGCCGTGTTCGGCCTCGGGGGGCCCTCGCCGGGCCTCGGCACCGTCAAAAAACGGCTCGGGACGAAGAGCCGGTCCTGGGGAAAGGGCCGGGTCCTCCAGGGGCTCCGTGCAGAAAAAATCCGGACGTCGCATGTCTGGGGGCCTCTGGGGCCCGCGCATCGAAACTTGGAGCAGGCGGACGTCTGGGGGGAGCGCTTCTAAGAAGGAGGCCGCCGCTTCGAAGGCGTCGGCCCCTGCATCTGTGGACGAGGCCCGCGCCGTCTAGGAAGCAGGGGTGCTTTTCGGAAGCCTTCCCCCCTCCTCCCCCTCCTCCTTCCCCTCCTCCTCCTCCTCCTCCTCCTCCTCCTCCGCCTCCTCCTCCTCCGCCTCCTCCTGCTCCTGCACCCTCCTCCTCCTCCTCCTCCTCCTCCTCCTCCTCCACCTCCTCCCCCTCCTACCACTACTACTACTACTACTACTGCCTCTACTACTACTACTACCTACTACTACTACTACTACTACTACTCCTACTCTACTACCTCTACGCTACTACTACTACTACTACTACTACTACTACTGCCTACTACTACTACTACTACTACTACTACTACTACTACTACTACTACTACTACTACGACTACTACTACTACTACTACTACTACTACTACTACTACTACTACTACTACTACTAACTACTACTACTACTACTACTACTACTACTACTACTACTACTACTACTACTACTACTACTACTACTACTACTACTACTACTACTACTACTACTACTACTACTACTACTACTACTACTACTACTACTACTACTACTACTACTACTACTACTACTACTACTACTACTACTACTACAGCTACAGCTACTACTACTACTACTACTACTACTACTACTACTACTACTACTACTACTACTACTACTACTACTACTACTACTCCCCCTCCTTCTACGCGTGGCTGATATTGGATAAGGGACTTCTGGATAAGGAAAGGGTCTGGAGGCCAGTGGGCTCCATTCGTGGATTGGCAGTGGATACCACCGCCGCCCTCGTCAGATAGGGAGCCCTCCGGGGTCGGAAATTTTCGGGGCACATTCCTGAACGAACGCCTCCATCGTACAGGTATCGTGCTTTGTGGAATGTACGGGAGTGACTGTATGGAATGCAGAGAGACACGAAGTACAAGTAGGGGGACCCGTGCAATAAGAGAGCACGTTCTCTGTGCGTTTACGGGGGCCAGGGCGCGCCCGTCGCCTGCGCGCCAGACGCCTTGTGAGCCACAACGGCGGCACACAAGGGAGGTGGGACGGAGGCGAAGGAGGAGGAGAAGCTGAAATACGCATGACAACCACATGCTTCCAAGAGGAACGGCACATCAGGAACGACGCCTCCTGTTGGCCCCACAGTCGACCGTGCGCGCCTCCTTCTGGCCCCAAGGCAACTACGGAAGGACCCGAGGGATACAGTCGGGGCGTTGACCTAAGGAACCCTAAATAAGGAACGAGGCCCTTTTTTCCATAATTTAAACTTCGGTTTCCGATCAAGAGCCCAAGGAAAACCCAGGGCAAGGTGTGGAACAATTAAGGAACACCGAGCCCCTCCCCAACGACAAGGGTTCCTTCTTCAGCGCCCCGACTGTACCCTGACTCCGGATCCGCCCTACTTTGGGGAAGTTCGTAGGCACGGCTTGGAATTTCCGCCCCACTTTTCAGGCCCCGCGGCTGCCAATTTCCGCCCTACTTTTCTGTTGCTGTTTCCGCCCTGCTTCTGTGGATTTCCGTCCCACTTTTTGATGGGTGCAGCAATTTCCGCCCTACTTTTTCGGCCTCTTATGTGGATTTCCGACGCAATTTTAAGCTCCTGCGGGAAAGCAGGCCCCCTCCGAACCGCTCACGACAGGGCCCGAAAGCCAAACGGAAGCAGCGAAGGGACCCAGAGATGCCCCGAGCAGGGCACGATAGGGGGCTCTCCCGGCCACGGCGGGCCTCTCGGCCACGGGCGGGTTCCCCGACCGAGATCTGAGGACCGGCCGCCAACGATAGGGCGGCGAAGTCTGGAACCTTGTGCCGATGATTAGAAAAAGAGGATCCCCCCCTTTCCAGGTTAGAGCTGATTATCCACGGCCAAGAAGAGTTTGGTCAGGGGCGCGACCGAGACCCGAGGATCGGCTGCCAACGATAGGGCGGCGAGGTCTGGAACCTTGTGCCGATGATAGAAAAAGGATCCCCCCCCTTTCCAGGTTAGAGCTGATCATCCACGGCCAAGAAGAGTCTGGTCAGGGGCGCGGGGCGCGGAGGCCGAACTTTTTTTTTTTTTTTATCACTGTGACAAGTTCACCATCGAGGTGAACTTCCTTCTTATGTTGGGATAGCAGCATCAAACGAAGCGAAGACGTTGTCGAGGATGTCTCAAGCGAAACCAACAGCGTTCTCTTTATATAGATATATAGATATCTCTCTCTCTCTTCTGTCTGCTCTTCTCTTTCTCTTTCCGTTTCCTCCCCCCCTGCCCCCCTAAACTTTTTTTTATCGCTGTGGTTAACTATCCACGAAAACTGAGGCACGTGAGCTACCCTACACGAGCAGATGAAAATCTGAATGTCCATTGTTTGTTTACACATTAAATTTAATATGTTTGGAACTTTGGCGTTTCTCCTCCTCCTCCTCCTCCTCTTCCACCTCTCTCCTTCTGTCTGTCTATATTTCTCTACTTCTTTCTCTCTCTAACTATATGTCTATGTCTGTCTCTGTCTCTCTTTGTCTTCCTCCTTCTCCCCCTGGCACCCTGCACTGTTTTTTTCATCGCTGTGGTTTACTATCCGCGGAAACCGAGGCACATGAGCTACCCTACACGAGCAAGGATGTCTCAAGGGAAACAAAACGATCCTCGATCCTCGGACCTCGCCGCGGTCGATCCTCGGACCTCGATCCTCGACTCTGGGATCTCGATCCTCGATCCTCGGACTTCGGTCCTCTTAACATCATCTCTTTCTCCTCCCACATGCTGGCCTCCGGTAGGCAACATTTATAATCCCCTCGCGACCCCGAACTTTATTATCCCTGTGGGATTAATCTCCGTGGTGTTCGGTTACACATCCACTACCCTGACTCCGGATCCGCCCTACTTTGGGGAAATCCGTAGGCAAGGCTTGGAATTTCCGCCCTACTCTTCAGGCCCCGCTGATGCCAATTTCCGCCCTACTTTTCTGTTGCTGTTTCCGCCCTGCTTCTGTGGATTTCCGCCCCACTTTATGCTGGGTGCAGCAATTTCCGCCCTACTTGTTCGGCCTCTTATGTGGATTTCCGATGCAATTTTAAGTTGGGAAAGAAGCCAACGTAGGGCGGATCTGGAGTCGGGGTACTCCCTGGCCAGGCACATCCTGAGCCCAGCAGCGGTGCACACGCCACGCCTCCTGGCTTCGCCAGGAGGACGCCCACACGACGCCTGGGCCCGGGGAGGCCCCGGCCGGGGGGCAGTGGAGGAGGAGGAGGAGGAGGAGGAGGAGGAGGAGGAGGAGCGAGGAGCGAGGAGCGAGGAGGAGGAGGAGGAGGAGGAGGAGGAGGAGGAGCGAGGAGCGAGGAGCGAGGAGCGAGGAGCGAGGAACGAGGAGGACCCCGCCGCCCGCAACGACGCGCTGCCGGCTGCCCTGCCCTGGGGCCAGTGCCAGTGTGCAGCTCGCAGCCTTCGCTTCCTGCCCACTGCTGAAGGGCCCTGGGACACACAAACAAATGCACACAAACAAAAGGATTCCCCATATTCTCCCATGTTTTCTGGGTTTCTGTCTTCCCCCCCACTCCCCATATTTTCTTACATGTTCT